TCCCCCCTCCTCCCGTGGGGCCGAACGCGACCCGCGAACGTCGGAAACCCAGCTGGTCTCATCAAGGCGGGGCAGCGGTTGTACCAGCCCCCTTCTCCGCCCCCGCGCCTCCCAGCCGTGCGAAACTCTGGTTGGCTTGCTTTCCAATCATATTTTGGTTCTATCATTTTGAAAAGTCCCGACCTCTTCCCGCTGGACCCCATCCCAAGAATCGACTGAGGCTGTGTTTGGGGACCAGGCCCACTTGGCAGCTGCAGCCCGGGCGTCCCACTTCCACAAAGCAGGTCGGGCGCTGTGACCCGGGAGCAAGCGACAGATGCGGAGTAGGAGCAATTCCGGGGTCCGATTGGATGGGTATGCCAGGCTGGTGCAGCAAACTATCCTGTGTTACCAGGTAAGAAGGACCCACCCCGAGGGAACGCCCAGAACTGCCCTCTTGTGCCACTTATTCTCCTACCGGCACCTCTGCCCCCTCTCGTGACCTGAGACCTTGCAGTTCAGACGTTTCCTATTTGAACACAGCCCTTGCTAGCCAGTGACTACCTCCCCATGGCCGCCCAGTTTTCTTTAACAGCAAGGGACCGAACACCTGCTATGGCTACCCTTCATAGAATTCTTTGACCATTGTTTAGGGAGGAAGACATGCCTTGGGTACAAATTTCGTCCTTCTGCATCGACTCTGCTTCTTGTGTGTGTGTGGGGGGGTTGGACAGAACACAGAGAATGAGGTCAGTGAACTCTGGATTGTGAGGGCAGCAGACAGGAGTGAAGAAGCCCCTGAGGTTTGCCCCCCAACTCTGGAGTGTGAGGTGACTGCGCCTGTCCCTCCCATGAGTTGGCTGGTAGAGACCCACTTGTGAGAACCTTAGGGCCTACTCTGGTTGCTGTTTTACCAATAAAGGCCAGAAACGGTCAGGTAACATGGCCAGACCCAAAGGTAGGTCTACTCCCGAGTTGGAGGGGATGTGTGACCCCTTCCTTGTGGTCTGGGGTGTGAATATGCTGGCCCGCTTTGCATTACTGAGCTAAAGTTATGTGTGGGGGCCATCTCATAAGACCACTCAACTATTTTTATTCCTAGTGAAGACAGCAGCTATGTTGCTTGCCCTCAATCAACAGCAACTATTTATAGGGACGTCAGAGTCAAAGAAGGAAGTGGCATTTGGTGGTTAGAGGCCTGGCCTACGGGTTGGGAGTCATGGTCACTCCCAAGCCACTGACCATTTTCCCTTTTTAGCTAATTTCTCAGCCTTGTTTCCTCAGTCTGGAAGTATTTATCTCACACCTCTTATATGCAAGGCATTCTGCAAAATGCTGGGTTTACAAAGAAAAATAAATTATTGTAGCGCAGTAACATTTATGCATAGGGGGTACGTCTGGAGTCCCTTATCTGAAACCCTTGGGCCACATGTAGTTTGCAAGTCAGTAATGTTTGGATTTTAGAAAGGCAGTTCACTTACAGTGTACTGCAGCCAAGTCTGGGCAGTACCCTGAATCAAATATATTATTATTTCCACATCAGTATACGAATGTTCACACTGAGTGGATAAAGACTGAAAAGAGTTTCACATTAGTTCAGGTTATCTTTTGCCACCAAACGAGCTTGCTGCAAACTTACAAGAACACTTTGAATTTTCAGAGCTTTTGAGATTGCACATGAAGGATCGTTGTCCTTATTTGGGGAAGCTGGAGAATGGACCCCTGTCTAGTTGAGGAGGAAGGCAGGAGAGGAGTCCCGGAAGAGATGATGTTCAAGTTGAGGTCTGAGAAAGGAGAAGGCAGGGAAATAGAGGCTATTTTTGGCCTTTTGCCTTGGAATTTATTTTGATCAGATCTGTACAGTGTTTTTAAAATCCAAACTGAAAAGCCTTTCCTTTTGTTATTGTGATGAAAGATGCTGTAAGGAGAACTGCTTTGTTCTTTCATCAGACCTGGGTTTGAATCCCCAGCTCTGCCTTGAGTGACGTATGTAACTTTTACTCTTCCTTGATGAGTCCATGCCGTCTCCTGTAAAATGGGGATAATAACACTTGCTTCTCTTTTTTTAAATAATTATTTATTTTTTATTTAGTCATTTATTTATTTTAATTTGGACAGAGAGAAGGAAAGTGAGAAAGCACGCCACCAGGTCTGGGACTCAAACTGAGGTTGGCCATGTGGGAGTGCACCTTAACCACCACACACCTGCTGGTCCCAACACTTGCTTCTATTGCACTGTTGTAGAGAAAAATTAGTGCCTTTTGGCACCCAGTGGGCAGTCAGTAAATGGTGAATGTTGTGACTTTGCTATGGGCCACCAGTTAGTACCCAGGCCTGGTGGTCCTTGCATGACCACTCTGGCCCCTGATGCTTCCTTTCCTGAAAGTTCTTAAACAGCTACAGATTGCTTTCTGGTCCTTGAACATAATCATGGCTCCCTACTGAGGCAGTGAAGTCTAAATATAGAGACTCCATCAGTTTTATTTCTTTGTGTCAAGCAGACCCCAGGTGCAGGGAAGTTACCCTTGAGTCTTTGTCAATAAAATACTTCCTGCAGATTATTTTTTCAAAAATAATTATTTTATTTAACTTTATTTATTATTATTGTTATTTTCCAATTTGATCAGACAGACAGACAAAGACAGGGAAAGTGAGAAAGCAAGCCACCAGGTTCAGGACTTGAACCACGGTTGGTCATGTGGGAGTCTAGCACCTTTAACCACCACACAACCTGCTGGCCCCTTCCCACAGATTCGGAGCCATCCTAATGACCCAGCTATTGGTCCAAGCTTAGGCTTTCCCCCAGGAGCAGAAGAACTTTCTTTTCATTACAGCACACCCGCAGTGTTGGACTTTCCTCCCCAACAGCTTTAATGATTAAAAAAAAGTTGTCTGAGCCTTTAGTTGTATTTATTTTGGGGGCAGTTGGTGAGAGCTCTTATGTTTGCCCTTTTTCTCTTTCTGGCTGTATCATTGAGCTCTACTGGCTAACCGAAACACATTAAACATGGTCCCACTGGGAAACACAAGTGCAGAAATGCGTCTTCCCACCTAACCCTGCCCCTCACCATTCTGCCCAACTAGTCTTCCCAGTTATGGAGGCCTAACCCACCTAGGCTTCGTCATCTGCTCTGAGTGATCTTAAGTCCATCCAACTAGTCTGTACAAATGAATGAGCACTGGGGCCAGCAGGTGGCCTAGCAGTTACATCACTTGGTGACTGTGATTCACAGTCCCAGACCTAGAGGCTTGAAACTCATGCTGGGTGTGTATGCATGCATACCCAAGATCCTGGGAAGGGAATGGGGGAGAAGGGATTGCAGCATGGCCATCCCCCCGGGGGGTGATTTCTCATTTTCCTTCTCACCATCTCTTCCTGTCTCTCTCTCCAGTTCCCTAAGGTAAAAACCTCTTGGGGAAAAAAAGAGTGAGCAATTTCGTGTTACATATATTTTACCATAAAAAATGAGCTAGAGGGAACCAGCAGTTAGCGTAATGGCTATATCACTGGATTCCCACATAGTCGACCGCGGTTCGCATCCCAGGCCTGGTGGCTTAGAACTCACGCCGGGCACATGTGCGTGCGTGCCCAAGATCCCGAGAGGAGAATGGAGGAGAAGGGATTGCGGCGTGACCATCCCCCCTGGGGGGTGATTTCTCGCTTTCTGTCTCTGTCTCTCTCTGTCTGGCGAGCACATGCGCCCTATAGCGAAAACCTCTCAAAAAAAAAAAAAAAAGAGCTAGAGTCATTTCTAAAGTTTATGTTTTATCTCTAGGGGATGCCTAGGCCCAGAACAGCTTGCAGCTTGTGCGTTATTAGGGGGAGTGTGGAGGTAATCTCATAAGCAGTCATTTAGAGAAAGAAGTCATTTGAAAGTGAAAATTGCACGGATTATTCTCTGAGGCTGCTGCATGTTAGAGCTCGTGTCTTCAAGATTATTCTCTGAACCACCTGAGGTTTATATATCAAATTGTTCAAAATCTACCTTTTAAATTAATGTCAAAAGAAAACATTCCTCAGACAACCTAAAAGTGGTGGTCTCAGTCATAGATGCAATCATTTTCTAATAAATGATATAATTCCTGCTTTGAAACACATCTCAAGTCCAAAGCATTGCCTTTACCCACTCGCCTTTAGTATTTTAAAAGCTGGTTGTTAGGATAAAACTCCAGTAAACAAAGGAATGAGCATGTTTTAGGAGGTTTTTTGTTTGTTTGTTTGTTTGTTTTTGAGAGGTTTTTGCTATAGAGTGCGTGCACTCACCAGAAAGACAGAGAGTGGCATGCACCAAGCAATTCTCAATCCAAGAGAAGGAAGACCAAGGGTTTGGGGTTGGCCTGAGGCCTCTGTCCTCTGTCCCTGGGAGCATAAGAAAGGTAACTGACTACTGGGGTACCTGGGAAGGCTTCATGGAGGAGAGCATCTAAAGGAGAGCAGTTTGCAGGGAGGGCATTTCAGGCAGAGGGAGGAACAAGCAAGCGAGTGAGAGAGCATGTGCATAGCTCCCGAAGTGCAAGAGCAGAGCATGTGCAGGAAATACTAGCTGAAGTTTTCTTGGGGGGCACAGGAAGGAGTGTCAGGTGATTAGGCTGATTGCCAGTGGGCCCACGAACCTTGGATGGCAATCTAAGGCATTTTGATTCTGTCTTGTAGCCACTGGAGAATTCTCAGCAGGGCAGTGACGTCTTGACATTCCAGGTCATTCTATGACTACCCTTTGTGGAGAATGGATTGAAAAGGAACCAGGGCTAGAGTTTTCTTGTGGGAAAAGGGAATTTGTACTCTCTGTCCCTTTTGTGGTACCTGGAGGACAATATTCACCTTTGTGCCCTCCAGCTAGAAACTGCATTGCAAACTGTTAACTATAAGTAGTGTGGGCCAGCAGGTGGCATGGTGGTTAAGGTGCTGGATCCCACATGGCCGACCATGGCTCCAGCTCCAGCTTGCTTTCTCACTTTCATTCTCTTTCTTTCTCCCTGTCTCTCTCTCTGGTGAGCACACATTCCCTATAGCAAATTTAAAAATAATAATAATAATAATAAAATTAAATAATTTAAAAAAACATAAGTGGTGTGGTGCTAGCATCAGGCATGGGTGTTTTGCCTTAATATTGCCTCAGCTTTGCATGTTTCCGATAGCATCAAGTAAATGTTTTTGCAGTGCCTGGTTCACCATGGCTGTACAGACATGCATGGTTGTGTTTGTCAGGATTCTTTCAGTTGTAAATGACAGCAACTCACCTCAAATAGCCTTTATAACTGAGGAGGCCAGGGGGCTGTTCTAGATTCAAACATGACTGGATTTGGGAGCTGAAATTTTCAGCTCTGCCTTCTTATATTGTGTTGCCCTGTTTGAGTGGGAGTGTGCTTTATTCTCTAGCAGGCTCGTCTCCCGTGGTGCCAGAGGTGCCTGTT